GGGGGAGGGTGAGGGAAGGGTGGAGGGGGTGGGGGTGGGGGAGGGTGAGGGACGGGTGGGGTGGGGGAGGGTGGGGAAGGTGGGACGGGTGGGGTGGGGGAGGGTGTGGGACGGGTGGGGTGGGGGGACGGGTGGGGGACGGAGGTAGGGTAGGTGTGGGACGGGTGGGGTGGGGAGGGGGAGGGACGGGCGGCGTAGGGGAGGGCGTGGGTAAAGGGAGATCGGAATAATGGGTGAGGATCCGCGCTGGAAACTTTTCGCTTCGTCACCGTGATCTCGCGACGGAATTTCCGACGGAATTAGGAATAGCCGGCGAAAGGAACAGCAGTTGTTTACGTTTGTATCTTAGGGATAACAGGTGTAAAACAAATGCCGTAAAAATCAATACACTAACTAACCTATATACATCTATTTTCACGGATATATATGGAACAAAGAAAGCCCATTGGCTTGTCTTACAGGACAATGAACGGAGCAGAGGCGGGAGGGGGAGGGGGAGTGGGGAGGGAGTGGTTACCAGGTAACAGCCAAGTCATCGTGACATTCTTTGTTTTGATTTTTTCTTTCTCTTTTTTTTTCCTTTTTTATGAGGGAGGGAAATTAGCGCGTGTGTGAGGGCGTAACATAAGAGTTGCATGACATGGAACGAAGAGTGGGGAAGGAGAGGAGAACGAAGGATAAAGAGAGAAGAGAGAAGGAGCAAAGGAAGGGAGGGAGGAAAGGAGATGGAAACTTGCCACGGGATCAGATTTAATACATTATAAGAGGATTTCGAACCTCTGTACATTTCGGAAAGCGGAGAACAAGTGAAGCGAGAATAGCGATACCTGCGTCGACGCTCTCCGAACAAAGAACAAAAGGAGAAGAAAAAGAAAAAAAAGAGAAAAGGACAAGATAGAGGGGGAGCGAAGGCCGCGCGGAACAGCCGTCGGGTCTTTACTAGTATTATAAATTGTGATATATTTGTTGTTGTTGTATTAACATTATTTTGTTTATGCTGTTGTGTTTGTTATTATCATTATAATCATTAGTAGTAATAGTAGTATTAAGAGTAGCATTTTTTTCATCATTATAATTATCACATCGCTATTATTATTAGCATCACCGCCATTATATGCATCATTTATCACCATTATCGTCATTATCATCTTTTTCATTATTTCCAATTATCATCATTTTCATTATTTCCAATTATCATCATTTTCATTATTTCCAATTATCATAATTATTTTTAATTATCATCATTGCTCTTCTCGTGTTTCGAGCGGTTTCAAACAAATTAAATGGAAAACCTAATTACAAAAAGTGTGCATTTATTTATGTATGGATAAGTATGTATCTACACATTCGCATGTTTAAATTCCATAGGATGTGTACGTGTATATATATATGTATGTGTGTGTGTGTGTCTGTGTGTACTTGTGTATGGGCGTTTATAGAGATCGGTAGGTTGATATATAGATGGGTTAAATAGATGGATAGATAGATTGGCAGGGAGTTCACGTCGAAGAAATTGCAACAGGAACAACGAAGGGAAGAACAAGAGAACACACGAATATGCCGAGGCCTTTTTGCTCTATTGCTAAAGAGGCAATAAATAGAGAAAAAAAAATTGTATATCCGTGTGTTCTCTTGTTCTTCCCTTCGTTATTCCTTTCGCATAGGAGTAGATAGGTAGATGGACAGATAGACTGATAGAAAGATAGGTAGATGGACAGACAGACTGATAGAAAGATAGGTAGATGGACAGACAGACTGATAGAAAGATAGGTAGATGGACAGACAGACCGATAGAAAGATAGGTAGATGAAGAGACATACTGATATAAAGATAGGTAGATGGACAGATAGACTGATAGAAAGATAGGTAGATGGACAGATAGACTGATAGAAAGATATGTAGATGGACAGATAGATCAATAGGTAGATAGGAGACGGAAAGATAGACATGTAGAAAAGATACGAATGAGAATGAATATCTTTAAGACACAGGAGACAGATAGATACATAAATAGACAGAAGGAAGCTGCTACCAGGCACTTCTATAGACCTTGGCCGCTGCGTCATAGTTATCAACGGGAATGTTACGTAATATCACCCTTATTGCAAAGCCTACTGTCACCTTGGCTCTGTGTGGATTTTTTTTTCTGGTAATTTTGCCAATCATTAAACTGGAACGCGTGAATATATTTCTTTATCGCAAATACGTATGACATAGATAATGAATAGATAAAACGATAAACAGATTGATAGATAAATCGATAAATAGATGAATAGACAGATGAATGAATAGAGGAGTAGATAGACAGGTAAGTAAATAAACAGATGGGTAAAAAGATATATGAATAACTGAATGAATGAACGAGTGAAAAAATTAACAGATGAACAAATCATTGAATAAATAAACAAATAAATAAATAATATGATGAAAAATATAAAGATCAAAGACTTTGTGCTAAAGAGAAGATTATATACTTGGTTTGTTTGTTTGTTACAAGATGAATGTCTTGCCTCGATAACGAAGTGGAAGTCCGATGAATTAGAATAGGAGAAAGAGTTAGAAGAAGAACGAGGAAGGAAGAAGGGAGAGAGAAGAATAAAGGAGGAGTTAGGGGAATTGTAAGCAATCAGAACGAAGAAGAGTGAGGAAGGAAGAAGGAAGATAGAAGAAATAAAGGAGAAGGAGTTAGGAGAATTGTAAAGCTGTCGAGATGAAGAGAAGAAGGGAGAGAAGAAATAAAACAAGAAAGAGGTGAAGGAAGAAGGGAAAGAGAAGAAATAAAGGAGAAAGGGTGAAAAAGAACGGAGAAGAAGAAGGGAGAGAAATAAAAGGAGGAGTTAGGGGAATTGTAAAGCTGTCGAGATGAAGAGAAGAAGGGAGAGAGGAAATAAAGAAGAAAGATATGAAGGAAAGAACGGAGAAGGAAGAAAAGGAGAAAAAAGAAATAAAGAAGAAAGAGGTGAAGGAAAGAACGGAGAAGGAAGAAGGAGAGAGAAGAAATAAAGGAGAAAGATATGAAGAAAAGAACAGAGAAGGAAAAGGAAGAGAGAAAACATAAAGGAGAAAGAGTTAGGCGAGTCATAAAGCTGATGAGACGAAGAGGAGAACGAAGGAGGAAGAGAGAAGAGAGAAAAAAGTAAAGGAAGAGGAGATGGAAGAGAGAAGAGAGATGTAAAAGGAGAGAGACTTGGCACGGGTGAGAATTTAATGACTCTACCGTGTTTTACCTTTTTTTTTCCTTTTTTTTATGAAATGTGTTACTTTTTTAATACGTACTCTGTGTTGTAAAGATTTTTTTAAATTGGAGTATCGGATACAATCAAAGGAATACATACTTATGAACATACACATAACATGCACACACATACAACACGTACACACACACGCACAGATACACAGATACACACATACACACACACACAGATACACACATACGCACACACACACACACAGATACACACATACGCGCACACACACACACACACACGCACACACACACATAGATACACACATACGCGCACACACACACACACGCACACACACACATAGATACACACATATCACACACAAACACACACTCAAATAAAAAAAAAACAAAAACAAAAAAAAACATATAAATGGAAGCAAGCGATAAAAAGTATTTAAACCTTAATATAAACCTTAAATCAATTCATACGAAATTAACAAATTCAGAATCATAAAAAAAAAAAAAAAAAAAAAAAAAAAGAAAGAAATGAAAAGCCACTGAATTGGATCCTTTCTGCCCAGGCCTTCTCGTGGTACTCCGGGGGGGGGGGGGGTGAAAGGGGCCGCGGGCGTGAGGAAGGGCGATTATTCCTGGAACACACAAGGAGGGGCGTCGGTTCGTGGTTTGAGGTTTACGGGGCCGGGTTTCATTATATATGTATGTATGTATGTTATATGTATATATATATATATATATATATATATATATATATGTATTATATATATATATATATATATAATATATATATATATATATATATATATAATGTATATATGTATATATATATTATATATATATATGTATATACATGTATATAATGTATATATATATGTGTATATGTACACACACACACAACACACACACACACAACATATATACATATATATATAATATATATATATATATATATATATATATATAATATATATATATATATATATATATATATATATTTATTTTTCTCTCTCTTGCTTTCACTGACACTCGCTCCCTTACTCACCTCTCCCTGCCTCCCTCTATCCTATATTCCTCCCTCCCTCTCTCGCTCTCTAACCCTCCCACTCTCATTCTCTGACTTTCTTTCCTTCTCTCTTTCTCTTCTCTCTCTGACTCAACTGTCTCTGATGCAGTCTCTTTTTTATCTATCTATCTGTAAGCCTTTTTTTCTTTTTTAAGTCACTCTCGTTCACACTATCGACTTTGGCGTCCAAGAAGTGTGAACTAGTCAGGGGACTATCTCCTCTTTTCCTTGGGCATAAAGCAACTTTTTTTAATCCCAATTTACGCATTAAGTGTCATGGTCGCACCTGTCAGTTGTAATATTGCAATTGCTTTCTTCGAAGAATCGATGTATCGGAATCGCTTTAGCCGATTTCCAAGTATCGATGCATCGACATCGCCTGAGACAATCCTGTGTATCGATACCCATCACTGTGCATGTATGTATGTAGAACGGGAGAATGCTCGTGTGGATTACCTAGGCAGTTTTCGAATGCAGTTATGGAATGCGAAGATTTGTTTTTTAATACATTTCCATCATTGTCAGCCATTATTGCATACGTAGAAAAACGATGAAATGGACATGTGGATGTTTTTTATAGTCATTGTCTTTTGGGCGTTCACTGTGGCCTCGTTCGGAGTCAATAATATTTCTTAGACTTCAGTTTGATTTCGATTTTGTCTCGAATGTCAATGTGTAAAGAATCTTTCGTGTATGTTTTTGTATTTCCTTGAGGGTAAACTTAAAGCATGG